GTATACACAGCGTGCTTATTTATCGTCCATTGTTGCCCGTATACACAGCGTGCTTATTTATCGTCCATTGTTGCCCGTATACACAGCGTGCTTATTTATCATCTACTGTTTCTGTCTATTCATATTGACCAAAAGTTTTCTGTGAGTATTTAAATAACGAGACAATGTCATTTTATCAATAGAGCAAATCCCTGCTTATTTATCGTCCATTGTTGCCCGTATACACAGCCTGCTTATTTATCGTCTACTGTTTCTGTCTATTAATATTGACCAAAAGTTTTCTGTGAGTATTTAAATAACGAGACAATGTCATTTTATCAATAGAGCAAATTCCTGCTTATTTATAATACACTGTTGCCCGTATACACAGCGTGCTTATTTATCATCTACTGTTTCTGTCTATTAATATTGACCAAACATTTTCTGTGAGTATTTAGATAACGAGACAGTGTCATTTTATCAATAGAGCAAATCCCTGCTTATTTTTATATCTAAGTAAATGTTATTAAAATATTAAATAAACCAGAAGACCGCCGCGTAAATTAACATTTTACTTTAAACGTCAATATTTCTTTAAAGCACAAATCTTATCAGTAATGAACAAAACGCGTCCGACAGTGACGGAAGAAACACGTGACAAATTACTCCTGGTTTTTTGTATTTCTACTTAAGACAAACCTGGAAGATTCATTGATGATGAAGAAGCTGATAGCAGAAGAAGAAGGGCCAGCTCCAGAGGAATCATTCCGCGAGCGAAGATTAAGACTGTTAAAATGACTTTTGTTATAGTTTTTGGTAAGATTTATATTTTTGGTACGAAACCATTATGTCAGAATCATGAAACGTCAGTCGTGTAACGATATAATCCTGTTAAATCTTCCACTGATCAAACGCAGGGTTATGTATATAAGAAACGAAGAGGTTCTTTCTAATAACTAAGCTTATCTTGACAAATTTTAGATGTGCGTGTGTGTGGAATTCCAATGAAACTTGTATATTTTTCTCCATTTATACTAAAATAATGTCAATATCTTTTGCCCATGTTTTACAGAAGACCATATTTGCTGTCGATTGTGTAATTATATATATATATTTATTAACTTGGATCTGTCATAGTTGATAATTCGTAAAGAACAAGTTTCGATGACATCGGATAGGGCTCTGAACACGTGGCATCACAAACACACACACAAGAATGGATTAGGTTTAGTTCATCCTGGGTTTCTCTAACGTCACCGTTTCTGTACCAATTAAAAAACAAAACCATTCATGATGCATCAGAGTGTTATTAATTTTGGACCACTCTGTGTTATACTGCAATTCTACACGTGCCTTTTTTAAAATTCGGTTGTGGAAAAATATAAAACCAACATCTAGATGACAAAACTTCGAATCGTCATTTATAAAAACGATTTTTTTATTGTTTTTTTGCATTCACGTTTCGATTTGTAAGAGCTTAAACGAATACGTTACATTAAACCGATGTTGGAGCCTCACCACGTCGTTACAGTACATGTCACCATAAAAATTTAGTGTAATAGGACAGCAGTTTTCCATAAATGCTGCGTTCGGTGGCTTGACCGATATGACTTGGTATGGAATAACATTAATACACGGTTCACTCTCCAGTTGCTTGAAGTATGCAATATGTTGAATACTTGTTTCTGATCTGAGTATATGAATATTTAGGACTTCCCTAAAGGGATCAATTTTCAGTGGCATCACACTACCTATGAAACATTAATGTTACAATGTGCTATTGATATATTATCCTTTCTTCAGTGATTTTATATCGGTTATGTGTGTTATGTGATTTGCTAATTTGCATATTTATTAGTCTTTATCTTTCTATCTATCGGTACTGTATTTTATCAGTTAATAATGTTATTAGTCTTTATCTTTCTATCTATCGGTACTGTATTTTATGTGTTAATAATGTTATTAGTCTTTATCTTTCTATCTATCGGTACTGTATTTTATGTGTTAATAATTCCATTAGTCTTTATCTTTCTATCTATCGGTACTGTATTTTGTCAATTGTGACAAATACATTAGTTATGGTTATTTTGAGTGTTGAATACGTTACAGTGAAATGATTTCAAATAGAAAGATAAAGACTAATAACATTATTAACACATAAAATACAATACCGATAGATAGAAAGATAAAGACTAATAACATTATTAACTGATAAAATACAGTACCGATAGATAGATAGAAAGCTAAAGATTAATAGCATTATTAACACATAAAATACAATACCGATATAGAAAGATAAAGACTAATAACATTATTAACACATAAAATACAATACCGATAAATAGAAAGATAAAGACTAATAGCATTATTAACACATAAAATACAATACCGATAGATAGAAAGATAAAGACTAATAACATTATTAACACATAAAATACAATACCGATAGATAGATAGATAGAAAGATAAAAACTAATAGCATACAATACAATACCGATAGATAGAAAGATAAAGACTAATAACATTATTAACACATAAAATACAATACCGATAGATAGAAAGATAAAGAATAATAACATTATTAACACATAAAATACAATACCGATAGATAGAAAGATAGACTAATAACATTATTAACACATAAAATACAATACCGATAGATAAAGATAAAGACTAATAACATTATTAACACATAAAATACAATACCGATAGATAGAAAGATAAAACTAATAACATTATTAACACATAAAATACAATACC